TTGTCCTGTGCTGCCGTCATCTACCACTAAAGCAAGAAAAGTCATCGCCTAGAGATTCTCTTCTCTCTCTCCCTCTCCCTTCTCAGAGGCCACCGGCTCCTTCTCTGCCACACACAATTCTCCACGAAGCCACTGCTGTGTCTGACAGCCCAAATCACTTCTCGACTGGGCTACACGCCACTGTCTTCCCACCACTAGCCCTACCTCAAACCCCCTTCAGAATGCAGCGAGTAAAAGGCAGATCTCATCATGTGAGTCCCAAGTTTAAAGTCTACCCTCTGCCCACAGTACAGGCTGGCCACTCCCGACGTCCTCATTCCGTAGTTCCCCAGACAGATGGAGAGCTCCAGGGACCAGGCTTTTCTTATTGGTGAGAGTCCCCTGGAAAACAAAGTGAGTGTTGTCTAGCCTCTGTTTGGGGCTGACAATTTACTTTAAATTCATAATTTCTCTAGATGTTTATGAACCAAAAGGCCACACATATTTGATTCCTGCTTCAACACTGTTTCACGGCACAGAAAATTATTTCTATACAAAACCTCATCAACAGAAAAGAGTACAGGACAATCTATCTACCAAACAAACATCTATATTTACTGGGTTTGGACTTCATAAAGAAAACTTTCACGTTTGCTCTATTTGCAACAATGTAGACAGAAGAAAACAGGATGTTTTACTTTCAGAGAATAAGTGAAAATATGTCTTTCTATGTTTATCATTCTCCCTGAAACTGAATTCAAATACAGCAAGTAAAGATTCAGAGATGCTTAAATGACATTAAAGTGTGTATATGTATTTAGGGGGAGGGGGGAGGAGGGGGAGGGGGAGGGAGGGGGAGGGAGGGGGAGAGAGGGAGGGAGGGGAGGAGGGAATGATGTTCAGTTTTTCATAGAGGAGTACTGTCCAATGTGCCTTTCTGTGATGATAAAACTGTTTAAGGTCCGCACTGTTCAGTATGTAGCCAACAGCCACAAAGTTCTATTGCAACCAGGGAACTGAATTTTTAATTGAAATTAAATTTAAGTAACTGCATGTAACCAACGGTTACTGCATTTAACAACAGTTTGGAGCACAGTAGTATTACTTTGTGAAACAATGCACCGGCACTTTAGCTTACAAATGTCAGCTCACAAAGTGTTGCAAAAATGCTTCTGATTATTAAATGATCAAGTCTCTAAGTGCTAATGCTTTGTTGGTAAAAAGAAAACCAAAAAAGCTACCTTTTGTTATTAACAGACACTGTAGGATTACTAAGAATCAGATACATTGCAATATAGCTTTTCAGAAGGATACTTATCAGACTGCTAAATAAAGAACTAGGAATGGAAGTTCTCTGTAGTGTTTTCAGAATCTTTCCAGTACACATTCTTTAAACTTTCTTGACATTAAAAAATGAGATGGGGGGAAAATTTTTGCTTCAGCAGGGAGCAGCAGCTAATTTCTGTAAAGTGTCCAATGAAAAGGTAAGCTCAACCCTAAGACAATTACACTTTTACAATGAGGAAATTAAAAAAACATTAACTTAATAACAACTTTAGGATTGTAGATAAAATAGCCAAAAGTTTCCTTATAATCTTTAATTTATTGACATATATGTATTTAAAAAGTATATTACATAAAGCAATTTGTGCACTAATTCAAGAAGCAAGTTCTAATGACACTTTCAACATCAGTGTCTCTGAGGTCACCTAAGCCCCCCTGAATCATCAAATTCCATTTTCCAGAGCACATCACCTCTGCATCTACTAAATGAGCTATGACAGAGCATTTGTTGAATCCACGGAGATGCTCAGTGGGAATCCCATCCCAAGCCATCAGTACCCATTCAGGTGGCCATAACTTTTTTCGTTCATCACTAACTGTATCAGTTGATTGCATAACTATCCCAAACTGGCGTCAGCTGAGGTTGCTTTAGCACAACATGTGTTTTCCAACCATCGCCTTGTTACAGGAGAGATTGGAACAGTCGGCGGCACAGGGGACCACTGTCTCAGACTCAGGCACATACAGCAAACAGGCGAAGATGATTTTTTAAGAGGGAGGGCTACCTGGAGTGATCCAGGGTTTCTCCGAGCCTTCTGTGAGTGCTCTCTAAGCTTCCGCGTGGATTAAAATGCCTGTCTCTGCTAAGCAGTCATCCTCCTTTAGGGTCGCAGGCAGACACGGAGCTGCCAGGACACGTGGATAGGCCTTCCCTACTTTCCATCCAATGTCACACAACTGCAGGCACTATTTTTCCAGATAGCTCATCTACTGTCATCTGTGCTCATCTTAAAAACCTTCTACTGCTTCCGCCACTGTGGAGAATTCAAACAAACGAGCAAGTCAACCTCCATTGTTCATTTCAAGGTTACTCTGACCCACCTTTGTTAGTCTAGCTGGTGGGTAGCACCCGACCTTCTCGCTTCAGGGACTCTGGTCAGGCTCCTCGGTTCACTGAGGGCAGCGCCACCCTGGCCCCAGCCTGGTTCAGCCAAGTGCTATTCATGCTTCACAGTTTGGCTGGGCTGAGCCATCTCTTCCTTCCGAAAGCTTCTTTGAGTGTGGCCCTCTCCACCCACAGAACCCAGGGACAAACCTCTATCACGGCACCCATCCCACTATTACTCTGCTCCCTGCATCACCACTGCCACTGCCTAGCCCTTCCCGGGTGTGCACCATTGGTTAGAAACGATTTTAAGTGCTTCTCCTTCACACCTTGAAACACCCTTGTGAGCTGGGTACCATTTTTCAGACGGGAAAGGCGAGGCCCAGAGAAGTAGAACGATGTGCCCAAGGCTCCACAGTGTCGAAATGGGAACTCGGGCCACCAGGCCGCAGGATCAGAGCTCTCACCTCTTCATGTTCTGCTGCCCAAAGGCTTCTGCATTAGATCAGGGGCTTTGGGGGGGACAGGACAGTGAAGGCTTACCCTATGCTTGAGAAGAGGGTGATGAAAACAGTCACTACCTGAGAAGCTGTCTGTCACATGAAGAGAGGCTGGAAACTTGGCTTCCAGCACTGCCTGCTGAGTGATGCTGGTTTCATAGGGTCCCCAGGGTACCCTTCCAGTTCAAGTGAATTGTCAACAACTAAACCCCATTCCTTTTCTCCAGAGATGTTCTCCACGGGTTTGCAAGAATGAAAGCCAACCCCTTTCCTCCCCCAAAACAAAAAACAGTTACTGAGAAATAAAACTTTTACCCAGTTTCGGAGTGAAAGAAGCACATGCAACCCTCACATTTAGAGGTAGGAGCAACAAAACTATTCCAAAACACACTGATCTGATTTATTGTCCATCACAAAGGAAAATGCTGAAGGCGAGTTCATCTTTTGGTTTTCTAGTTTAACACTTATCTTCAAATCAGGAAGAATTTGTAATTCACAAAGGCAATCAAAGTTAGTTTGCTTCATATTTTCCCCCCAAAACTTAGGCCTACAAGGCAACCTGAAGGCAATTTGACAAAAAGAAAATCGTAACAGCTAATAGTTCATATTTGCAGAGTGCTCCCTATATGTCAGGCACCTACACGCACATTATTCCTATTTCTTCCGTATCCTTTAAAAGCTCCCCTTGGGCTATCAGTTATCAATTCCCTTTTACGGAAGAGGAAACTAGGACTCACGGAGGTTACAAATAGCTACAAGTCTCAACCTCAGCTCCATCGCTCCCAAGTCCCCATCCACTACGTGAAGCTGGGGCACAAACTCCCCTTCCCACTCCCCTTTTCGAGCAGGACTGTCACCTGGGCGGGGGACTCGGAGGCGTCCGCCCCCACCCCACAACTCAGGTGCAGGACACGCTTGGGTCACATAACCGAAGATAAACCCCGCCTCTACGCTTCCTCCCAACACTTCATTAGCGGGAGTTATGATTCCAAGATCTCAATGTGCAAGGTCAGAGTTTGGTTGGTTTCAGGCGAGCGCCGCATGGGCTTGGCAGACTTACCTTCCGATCCTCGAGTCAGACCTGCTGCGAGGTCCGCAGTACGCGAACACTTTCGCAACTGATGGGAGAGCGCGGAAAGCTTTCCCGTACCCCACTTCCGCTAAGTCTAAGATGACACCCCTGTTCCCCCCGTCAACTCGCTCCGGACCGACGCCTCGCCGAATACCTGTTCCGAAGCCTCGGAGGGTCGCGAGTGCCGCCGAGGCGCCCGACTCTTCCGCGGCTGTCACGAGCGAAACCCCGCAAAGGCAACCAACCTTGCAGGTCGGCGTCCTCCAGCAACCGCTACTCTCGCTCCAGATCTCCCCTGTCACAAGCGGAGGTCGATCTCGCATCCATCCGCCCACCACCACCATGTGCGAAGTTCAATCGTGAGTTCGGCCAAAAGACGTTTCCTTTGGCCGTCCACGAAAAGGAGACCTGGACCGGTGCCCTGCCCGGCTGCCCGGCGCCGAGGACCCCTTCCCCGCGGATGCCCCGGCGCCGCCCCGGCCAGACCCACCCGAGCAAGGACGCGGAGCCCCTCCAGGTGTAGCGCCGAGTGCAGGCCACGCCGCCCGCGGCCGCCTGGGACTCGCAGGCCGAGGGCGGAGGCGCGGCCGCCGCGCCCGCGCACGGCGGGCCCCACCCGCCCCGCCCCCACCGCCCCGCCGGCGGGAGCTGCGGGCGCGCGCCCCGCCTAGGCCTCGCCGCGCGCCGCCCGCGCTCCCTCCCTCCCGGCCCCGCCGCCGCGCGCGCGCCGCCCGCGACCCCCTCCCCAGCGCGCCCCTCCCGCGCGCCCCGCACTCACTGAACATCCCAGGCGGCTCCGGCTCCTCCCGCCGCCGCCGCCTCCGCGATCGGGTTGCTTCCGCCTCCGTCGTCTCTGCGGCAGGGTCTCGCTCCCACGGCCGGCTCAGCCGGGCCCCCGCGCCCCGCGCCCCGCCGCCCCCGCCGCGGCTCTGGGCGGCCGCTCCATGACTGACTGACACGGAGCGGGCCGCGGGCTGGGCCGCTCGGGCCTCCAACGCGCAACCGTCTCCACCAATGGGCGAGGCGCCTCGGCGCTCTGCTGGCGATGCCTGGCGTGCGCCCGCCCCGCCCCGCCGCGCCGCCGCCGTCTGGCGGAAGGAGCCAGGGGGCCGGTCTCACGTGGTGGGGCTGCCCGGGAGTCCCGACTAGTCGCCGCCGTGCTCCGTCCTCGCCCGCGGTCCCTGTCCCGGCCGGGCTTGGAGGCCAACTCCTTAACCTGGGACCTGCCCTCCATCCTCCCCCGCTGTCCCCAGCGGCGGCGGGGCCAGAGGCGAACCCCTTACCTGGGACCACCTGCAGGTTGGTCCCTGCCCGGGGTCGGCCTGGAGGCTGGAGGGTGAGCGCCTAACCTGGGGACGACCCTCCGCCCCCTCCGGCGGCCCCTACGGAGAGTGGACCCCGAGGTGAGCGCGTTACCTGGGGGCGACCCTCCGCCCCGGACCCCGTCCCTCCCGAGGTTCTGCGCTAGACGAGAACCGTCTAGGCCCGCTCCTTCCGCGACAGTCGGAGTGTAGCGGCTCAGAAGCAGCCTCTGCGTGAGAGGTACCGGGGCTTTGCTGTCCGCCGTGTGTTGTTCGCACCCCTTGCTAAGACCGCTGGGGGGCACCCTGAGCGGAACGTGGGTAGAGCCGGGAGGTACCTTGGGCGTCTTTGTAGCCGGTTCTGGAAATACTTTTTGAGTACTTTGTAGCTGTGGCGATGGCTACAAACATACTGAACTTAGAAATTAAGTAACTAGTTGTTAGGTATTGGACATTTTGACAAAACAGGAAAATGACGGTGCTCACTGTTCCTGTTCTCTATAGTAAAGTGAAGGATACGATGCTCAATGTCATCCGGTGTTTACTCACTCCCCGTAGTTACCCGTTCACAGTAAGTTTTGAAGGTAGGTCTGGAGGAATTCAGGCTCCGTAGATGTAAAAAGTGCAAGTGATCCAGTCGAAAGGTTTTAGGTTTGACAGTTTCATATTAGAATCATGGGGCTGCGATTTTGGGGGGTATTTCCGTTATGTTATTTCGTTTTTATTTTCAAGTCAGTATTTGCAAATGAAAAAAAAAACAGTATTTCAGTATTAAGTATCATGAAAAGTGTTTCTCTTTTGAAGAACTGACTTGTGTACTTTCATGTAATGAAAATGGCTTAATCAGATGTTTCCCCTTTTTACTGTGAAACTCAAAGCTACATTTACTTCAGTTATATAAAATAACAGGTTGTTAGCATGTTTGCTTTCCTCCTTGTTCATCATTTTATTATACTCCATATTTACGGTCTTAACTATGTAGCCACATTTCACAATGTTTTTGGAAGCAGCATGTCTTTGTAAACTTATATATTAACAAGTAAAGTTATAGTGGGAAGTTACTGTTGCAGCTGAAATAACTACTCCCATTGAGAGTGGGTTTATACTACTGCAGTTCTTTTTGTTTGTAACATTACTTTTTAAAAATACTGCTTATTTAGCTCTTTGAACTACTTAATGGAGTTGTTTCAATACATAATATGTGATATATTTTAGGGGATTTGTACAGAAACTTAACTTTTTAACCTAAAATCATGTGTGAGCGACTCCTCTTTTACAAGGAGTTTGAACACTTTGCCCAGTTCTATTCATGCACACTCACCTTTGAGAGTGTGATGTTTCATCACAGCGTGAATACTTGTACCTGTATATGTAATCCATCTTCTGCCTGCTTTTGTCTGAATTTCTTGCGCCCTAGCAACTTATGTATAGATTTATGCCCAAAATTCTGTCAGTGTGTTTCAACTCATTAAAGGAATAATATATACACACATATCCAGGATCCGGCAGAAGTAAGGCCTGCTTGAGTGTGGTTGGTAAGGTAATAATGTGGGTGTAATAATTTATATTTTGAATTTGAACATTTTACCTAAAATGTCCTATGGTGTGCTTGAGTGTGATATTGTTATGTTACAGAATTGCATGCTTCTGATTTTGTAAAAAAAAAAAAAGATTTTGTAATAAAAAGGGGGTGCTATTTGTGCCAGATCCTGTTCTATTGGACAATAAGATATGTAATGTTCATTTTCTAATGCCTGTTGAGTTTGACCTTAGTATAATTTTTTCCATTGTTTTATATTGTAGATAAAGTATAGTGATGGCTGCTGTTTATTCTGGCATTTCCCATAAGCTTAAAAGCAAGACAACTTCCTGGGAAGATAAACTAAAGCTAGCTCACTTTGCTTGGATCTCCCACCAGTGCATTCTTCCAAATAAAGAACAAGTAAGTCTAATGAAAAGCTTATGTTTTAATAACCTAATTGTCACTTATGTAGATTGCATGTTGACCTTTAGTTAAAATTCTAGAAGATTAGAAAAATGGTTGGGAGAGGAAACTTGGCTGGAAGTTAAAGTAATGTCTGAAAAAAAGGAGTATCAGGTGTTTTGTTACCAAACTTTATTTGTTGCAAGCCTCAGGAAGCATCTCTTATCATCCAAATCAAGTACATACTTCAGTGAACAGATTGGGAATTAGGTTACAGAAATGAGATTCTGAGTGTGTGGTAGCTCCATTTGTTCGTAAATCCAGAGTGATGTTCCATGTGTAACTGTTGAAGCTTTGTTAAACGTCGTTGGAATTTGATGAGTTCAAGGTTGGGAAGTAGGGAAGCTTCAGTATTTGCATTAAGCCATTCTAGAAATGGAGTTGGGACCAAGAAGGACATCGCCCTCTACTAACATTTCTCAGTCTTACTTGGCTAAGTGTATCTGGATGAGATCATGAAATTGGGGTCACATACACCTGTATGCTAGTGTTAAAGAAGATAGCACAGAATGTGTTGAAGATGGATTACATCTGTTAAAATGATGATGGGGTGCAGAAAGTAGAATGCCAGCATATCTAGTAGTTTCCAAAGCTGGCTGTACCTGAGATCTGTGACAGCCTGACAGTCACCTCGCAAGTGCTACACGTGTTGAGACAAAAGGGGAAGTTATGTAGGCATTTTTAAAATTTTATTTTTCAATTACAGTGGTCATTCAGTATTATTTTTTTATATTAGTTTGAAGTGTACATCATAGTGGTTAGACAATCATATGATTTGCAAAGCGGTCCCCCGATATTTTAAGTATCCACCTGGCACCATGCATAGTTATTACGATATTATTGACCACATTTTCTATGCTGTAGTTTACGTGCCCGTGACTATTCTGTAACTGCCCATCTGCCTAATCCCTTCACCTTTTTCACCCAGTCCCCCAGCTCCCCACGCCTTCCCCCCTCCTCCCCGGCAGTCATCAGTTTGTTCTCTGTATTTGCAAGTCTGTTTCTCCATTCATTTTTCTTTGACTTCGCACGTAGGCGACATTGTGTGGTGTCTGTCTGTCTGTCTCTGTCGACTTATTTCACTGAGCACACTGCCATCCAGGTCCATCTGTGCCGTGGGCCTGGACCAGGGTACGGTTTCATGGTCTTTCATGGCCATGGCGGGCGATTTGACCAGCATCTCCACTCCCCTGCTCCTGAAAGGTTTTCTCCTCTTAGCATCTCTCACTGCTCATACTGTGACGGACAGTTCTGGTGCTGTGAATGGAGGCCTCCCCACCTTCCCTTGTGTTTGTGAACGCACGTCACAATAATGGGAATGTCTGTGTCAAACGCTCCTTTTCGTACAGCACTTGTGCATCATTGTCCAGGAGACTTTCTCTGTTTTCTAGATGAGGTCAGTCACTTTCGAGGTTAGGCTACAGGTAACATGGGAAACCAGGACACAAACTCCTGTCTTTTAACAGCATTTTTACTTTATTTTGTTGCCATTCTGAGCAATTACTGTGTTTCTAATTTGAAATTTAGTGTAACTATATAGAGAAGTTAGAAGAAACTGTTAGAGTTTCACTTGAAACTTTTGATTGGCCTCAGATGAAGACAAAATTGTTTTTATTCTGTTTTTATTCTTTAATAATAAACAGTTAAAGATAACAAGACTTTTATATAATGTAACATTATCAGAGGAGAGTTTTAGAGGAGTCTTTTCTCCTCTAGGCAGTTGGGTTTGCTTGTACATGGAATGTCTCTAAATATCAAGTATTTTTATATATTGGTAAATAAATGCATTTATTTTCAGAGTATATTTCTTCCAAATTTAGGTGTTACTTGATTGGGCAAGACAGTCATTAGTTGCATTTTATAAGAAAAAACTTGAACTGAAGGAAGACATTGTGGAAAGGCTGTGGATCTATGTAGATAACATTCTGCACAGCAGAAAATTACAGAATCTCCTCAAGAATGGGAAGGCGATTAACCTGCAGGTTTCCCTGATCAAGGTAACGGTTCCTTGCGTTGACCTGTATGTGTTGCGCGTGTCTTCGTTGATGTTCCCGTCAGTGCTGGAAGCTTATTTGTTTTAGGATTAATTACGTGAAGATGGGGGAAGTAATCAAGGTGGGGAAGAAGGAAGTAATGTTAGAATTATGATAATGACTGTTATTCATTGCACAAGTATTGTGTACTCTGCATTGGGCTAAGTACTTTGCTATTTAATATTCATGAAGTGGTCGTTGATTACCTTTTTAATAGGAAAAGATAGCCGGCAGCTGATGCTACTTTGCGCGATATCCCCCCCCCCCCAACCGTTCTGTGGCCTGAAGGGAGGTCAAAGCCCAAATTTGAGATAGGAATTCCCTCAGATTCTTGACTCAGTGATTTCAAACCCTCAGATCACAGTTATGAACTTCACTGTCGAAACCGAGTGTTTGGAACAGCCTGAGAGAGAATAGGGTGCCAATGAAAAGCGTGAGTGGTGAGCACTGAGCCTCGCGGAGGTTAAGTGCCGAGCTGGAAGCCAGCCAGCCGGTGGGTGGCACGGCCCGCCGGGTCGGCGGAGCCTGTGCCCTCCGCTGTCACGCGTGTGCAGGGAGAAGGAGAAACGTTGGGGACAGAAGAATTAAATAGTTGAGTTGTATAGAATTAGATAGATGGTTCATAGGCTTTAGTGATTCTCAAAATTAGATTCCGAATTGCGTGTCACTGCTTCGAATAATAGCCTGGCGACCACTAAACCGGGTTACTCTGAGTGCTCTTCATCTCTGTGTGTTTTCGCAAAGTCGTTTTAAAACTTGCGTGCTCCGTATACTTACATAGAATATTGATTCTGTAGTACATGCATCCATTGCATAAATAAATTGCTCTTTGGGTATAAATGGGGACAAAATATTACAGTAGCAGTGCACTGGCATTTGAGTATTTGGCATTTTCATTTCAGCTTTTCCAGAGCCATCAGTTACTTGAATGGAGATAATCACACCTGTCCTCAGGCTACTGAGAGTTGAGCACCTGGGATAAATCTGATTCCCAGATGCTGTAAGGCTGGCAGCAAGTTACGTAGCCTATGAGTGAATTTTGGAATCTTCCCAGCCCTCATAATTTCTGCTGCTTGTGGATTTCCAAATTTTGGAAGTATACACTCTAGATTTGCTACATAGTACCCAGTAACTGAAAACATTTGCTTTCCTCTTTTTTTTTTTTTAGATTTTTATTTATTTATCTTTAGAGGGGAAGGGAAGGAGAGAGGGAGAGAAACATCAATGTATGGTTGCCTTTCATGCGTCCCCTGCTGGGAACTGGCCTGCAGGGAACCAGCTTACAACCCAGGCATGTGTCCTGACTGGGAATCGAACCGCCATTGTCTGGTTCGCAGGCCCTTGTGCTTAATCCACTGAGCCACACCAGCCAGGGCTGCTTTCCTCTTTGAAGAGTCCCTTTTGCTTCGGCTTTAAAGACAGAAACAGTATAATTAACTGCAAAAATGTAATTTGGATGACAGGATACCAACCAAAGGCCACCGTCTATTAACCTGCAATATCTGAGCTGAATCACAGGTTGAGGATGTTCGGAGTTGAAGCCTTATAAAACCCAGCTCTCTAGAAGGGGCAGCAGGTTTACAAAGGCTCTGCTCTGCTCCCCTTTTAAACTTTGTTTTGGTGGAAGGATGTGTAATAGAAATAAAACAGGTCCACGTTCACATGGATGTGATAATCTGGCCTTTCTCTTCTGTCAAGATGAGGGAGGCGGTGAGTTGACTGATTCTGCTGTGCTTTCTGCCTGTGTGTGAGGGTCCGTGGCAGTAATGAGCGTTCTTTCTTTCTCAATGTTCAGATCATAAATGAGAGAATAGCGGAGTTCTCGCTCTCGGGATCCCAGACGAACATCTGTGCTGTGCTCAGCTGCTGCCAGGGCATCCTCTCGACGCCCGCCCTTGCGGTCATCTACACGGCCAGGCAGGAGCTGATGGTGGCCTTGCTGAGCCAGCTGTGCTGGTCGGCCTGCAGGCAGCCAGCAGCCGCTGTGGTGGCCCAGTTATTCGAGGTCATTCATCTGGCCCTTGGCCATTACCTCTTGATCCAGCAGCAGCAGGTGAACCCAAGGCGTGCCTTTGGAGAGGTGACTGGGCATCTGCTCCAGCCCTGCCTGGTCCTGAGGCACCTACTCTCAGGGGGCACGTGGACACAGGCTGGCCAGGGCCAGCTGCGGCAGGCACTGAGCCGGGACCTTCGGAGTCAGATAGAGGCCGTGCTTCGAGGTGGCGCTTTTCAGCTCGAGCTGCTCTCGTCCTACAAGGAGGAGCTCTTGGACCAGCAGCAGGGGGACTCGAAGATGGGGGCCATGAAGAATCTCCTCACCCCCATGGACACCGTGGTTGCCAGGCTGGTAGATGCTGGCTACTGCGAGTCGTCCCTTCATGCTGTGGTTGTGGCCAACTCGGTGGCCTTGCTGTATAAGCTCTTTCTAGACTCTTACTTCAAGGAGGGGAATGAGCTGCTCTGCTTCCAGGTGCTTCCCAGGCTGTTTGGCTGCTTGAGGATTTCACACCTGCAGGAGGAGCAGCTGCAAGCCCTGTCCACGGGGGATTGGACCACAGAACTCCTGGTTGTAGAGCAGTTGCTGAGCTCCGTGGTGAGCAACAACATCTACAACATCGCAGCCGATAAGATTCGGCACGGAGAGGTCCAGTTCCGCTTCTACCGCCGCGTGGCCGAGCTGCTGATAAACCACTCGCAGGCGTCCGTGCCGGCCTGGTTCCGCTGCCTCAGGGCTCTGATGTCTCTGAACCATTTGATCCTGGAGCCAGACCTGGACGACTTGTTGGCCGCCGCGTGGATCGATGCAGACATAGCAGAGTCTCGAACCAGAAAGGCCCAGGAGGCCCTCATTCACACTCTCTTCCAGACGTACGTCAAACTCCGCCAAGTGCCACGGCTGTTTGAGGAGATCCTGGGGGTGATGTGCCGTCCCGCCGCCGAGGCGCTGCGGCAGCCGGTGCTGGCTGCGGGCCCCTCCTCGGTGCTCTGCGAGTGCCTCCTGGAGCTGCCTCCCAGTCAGGTCTTGGACGTGTGGTCCCTGGTGCTGGAGAAGTTCCAGTCCTTGGTCCTGCCTTATCTGCGGGATGACACCGACATGGCCCTGAAGTCGCTGTCCCTGAGCTCCCTGCTGCACTGCATCATGTTCAACATGCGGAGCCTGGACAGCAACACCCCTCTGCCCGTCATCAGACGGGTGCAGGGCACCATGCAGAGGATGCTCCGGGAGCTCGTGAAGCCCCTGCTGGACCTCCTCCTGGACCCGCCGGGCCCAGAGCTGGAGCTGTGGCTGCACAAGGTCAGTGACTCTGCGCTGCTGCTGTCCCACACCTGGGCGCAGGTTGACACTGTGCTCAGTTTGAACTGTAGCCAGTATCACGCTGCACCTGGGGCCGCTGCACCTGGGGTCCCTGCACGCGTTGCGCCGGAGGTCTCAAACTTCCCTCTGTTGCTCCCAGGTGTGGACACACACCACTGGAAGAAGATAGAAAAGATCACAGCTCAGTTTGACTCTGTGGGCAGGTATTGCTTAGAACAGCTCTACTTGCAGAAAATGAAAAGGACTTTGACGCAGACTGGGTTCCAGTGTGAGGAAGCCCTCTGTCCTCTGAGGGATGATGCCGCCTACATACTCGCGTCTGGCAGAGAGAGCTTGACTGCGGGGACGACAGCTTCCTGGGATGGCCAGGTGGGGACAGTGAGTGTGCTCACATACCCTGTAGCTCACTGGCACTTGATTGTGTCAAATCTCACAATCTTAACACCCTATCTTTGTCCAGATGACGAGAGGTACCTGGCCAGTGTCATCCTGAACACTTTGCCAATGAGCAAAGTCCAGGAGGGCTCAGCAGATGAAGAGCCAAACATCACACTTGAAAAAATATCTGCGGCTCTATTTCAAAGCCCCCTCTTCCCAGAAATGCAGTCCCTCTACTCGGCCTTCCTGCTGTGCCTCACTGAGAGGTGTGCCGGCGTGCTGTGTTCTGGAGCCTGGGGCGACCCGGTGCTTCTCGGTCAGCAGCTGCCCTGGCTTTTTGAAAAGGACCTTACAGGTGGGGCCCACTGGGAAACCAGGCATGCCAAAGTCGGACCTGAAGGTACAGAGTCAAGAGGAGAAATTGCCCAAACCTTACTGTCCTTGGCCAAGAGTGGCTTCCCGATTCGGCTGGAGGGAAAACAGTTGGAGAGCATCCTGGGGCTTTTGGAAGTCGTGTCTGCTCTGCAGCTGGACAGCCTCTCAACTGCCTGCCATGCACACTTCTTCCTTCTGCTACTGTCCACAGCCATGGCCAAGCTGCGGGGCTCCTGCTCCTCCTCACGGACCCTTAAGTTTCTGATGACCTGCTACCGGCTTCTTGGTTTCCTGCAAAGAGGGAAGAGTGCCCGTTCAGTGCTCAAGGTCATGTACGTCAGTGATATTTTTGAAGTCGTACTGACCTCACTGTTCAAAGCCAGTAGCAGATTTCTTATTGATAGGGATGACGACCCCTCTTGGCTGGAATTCCTCCAAGTGATAGGGACATTCTTAGAACAGCTCCTGCAGATGCTCATCCAGATGAAGCTCAGCTTGGTGCTCAATTTTGGGAAAATCGTCGCATTCCTCTCCAGGTGCAAAGTGTACACTGAAGCAACTTCAGGCAAACAGATGAAAAAGCAGAATCCTCTGGGCCGGCAGCTCCTTCTGGTGTCTCTGACCACGTTGTGCCACGTCCTGGGGCCTTTTGTCCGAGAGCGGAGGCAGCAGCCCGAGGCCCCGGAGGCCCTGCCGGGGCTGTTGCAGCAGGCGGCGGTCCAGCTGGGCACCTTGCTGCAGCTCTGCGCGCCTTGCGAGGCCCGGGGCCTGCACTCTGCCTTCCTCTCCTCGGTCTGCACGCTCTTGGAAGTGGACGTGGGCCAGCATGCCAGGCCCGGTGAGAGCGAGGTTTTGCAAGTCACGGGCAAAACGCTGCTCTCCGGACCCGCCCTCTACCAGAGCGTTTACTCGCAAGTACTGTCCGCGCTGCCGGCCCTGGCAGGACACTCCCAGTCCTTCCAGGCAGCCGTGCGGTTTTTAACCCTCTTCTCCTCGGCCCCAGAGCTGCACCCCAGGAAGGAGTCCGTTGTTACCTCCGTGTTTCATTCTGTGAGAAACATTCTCGCAGGTAAGACGCCGTCTGTGGAGCGTGTTCTGTGCTCTGGAGCACTTGGGAAAAGCTAGTGAAAAGGCCCTGGGGTGAGTTGCCGGCCCCCCCTCTCAGGAGCAGGTGCCCCTTTCTGAAGGCACGAGGTGTGGGTGAGCGGGCAGGAAATCGCCCTTCCGGCCCCCGCCCCGGCGTTCCTTTCCAGTCCATGCGTCCTCTGCCCCGGTTAGCCGTCACCTTCCTAGTGTCCCTGTGTTTGACACACAGTGGCCTTCTAGGCACAGTGCTCCATGTCCTAGTTTTCCACTGATTTTGGAGAAACTTCTCGTTTTTCGTTGTGAAATCTCTGCTGATCTTTTCCAGCTTTGATCTGGTCTGGCCCTGGGTGGTCAACGGATCATTGCATTCCTGTGAGTAGACTCTTCACGTCAGATCCTTAGTGCCAGCAATTAGCTCAACAGATATACAAAATGTGCCGCTTTCTGAAGACTGACAATGACTTAATTTAGAGGGAACCTCATAAAACTCCCTGGGGGCAGGACTTCAGCCCCCTAGGTTTCAGTGTAGTGCTAGCGGTCATCGGCACCACGGGAGCTGATTGGCTCAGACGGTGACGTCACCGCAGTGTTGGGTGGGATGTCACAGGACCGCAGAGCCAGCAGTGTCTTTGTGCACGAGGATCCCAAATCTGAGGTCCCCCAGGTCATACAGAGGTTAATGGGCCAGGTGTTACCCCTGGTTCAGGACAGCACATACTGCATACCACACCTGTGGCCTGGGTTTGTTCTCTGTGCTGGTTGTTACTGGGTCTGTGGTTGGTTAGGATGAATCCTCGAAGGTGAGGTTGGGGAGACTGTCAGCCGAGCCTGACCCTCAGAACCTGTGCCAGCCTCTCCCTTCCTGGTGGAGAAGCTGTGACAGGCGAGGAGAGGCCCAGGCGCGCACAGATTCCAAAGTGTTCAGTGGGGCCTGTGGGAAGTACCGCTGCCTGGGCCAAGGCCAGGCTGAAGCTTGCAGGCCTGAACTGCGCTGCGGTGCCTTCCTGTCTGTGCTGTGACGGTGGGTGGACCGATCCCCAAATTACAGCAGTGACACAGATGGTGAGAAGTGAGCCAGACCGTGGGGCCAGAGGCGAGGAGACTGCACACAGGCAGAGCAGCAGCAGGCAGTGGTCGTGGAAGGGAGGCAGGCCGGGTGGGGGTGGAGGACGGGGTCGCTGATGGGAAGCCTCTTGTGGGGTCCGCACTCTGCGGGGCCAGCCCAGCACCTGGTGCTGTGAGGGGTGGAGGCCCAGAGAGGCCGTGTGTCCAGGCTCTTACAGCTCGTGGGAGACGGCATGCAGCTTGCTCAGTGCCTGCGGCCCCGCCGCCCTCAGTGCTGCACAAAGCAAGTGCAGACGGGGACTGGGAAGGCACCCAGGCTGTGTGCGGCGGCGGCCTGACCACGGAAACGCGGCTGGGAAGAGCAGCTGGGGTCAGAGCGGAGAGGGCCCCGGATGTCCTCACTTTGGGGTCAGTTATGAAGTCATACGCCAGGGGGCCCAGGGATGTTTAGGAGGCTCTCCTGCTTTGAGTGAGAGACACCCAGGTGACTGCAGCAGGCAGGCCCCAGACGTTGAGGGTTCTTCTCATTTCTTCAACGTGCCCTTCTGCTTAAACGTGCAAACCTACCCCTGACACTTGCTGGTTTCGTGAAAGTTCAAGGAAAGCAGAGGAAAACCAGAAAGCGAGCAGTGGTCCCGTCTCCCGCTGTCCGGAGGGAAGCCCTGCTGAGCTTCGTCCTCGGCCCCCACCTCCAGCTGTCTGCTCCGTGTGCGCGAGAAGCATCAGGCTGGGACTGCGGGTGCCCAGCCCGGGGGCATCTCCGTGCCCTGGGACGGTGACCACACGCCTGTGCGCTGTGTCGTCTGGGGCTGCGCTCGTTTGTTTCAGCCCCACTTGTGCGTCACACTGCACAGTTTTAATTTCTGTCCCGTGCAGATCCTGCGGTTCCGGGTCAGGTAGTCCAGGATATCGAGCCTCATTTGGGAGCCTTGTTCACCCACATGCTGGAGGTGGGGACCATGGAGGACTTCAAGGGGATGCTGCAGTGTGTTCTCCAAGGGCTGGACGTCAGGAACCTGTGGCAAGCAGACCAGCCGGTGGGTCGCTCCTCCCTCCCTCGCTGGCAGGTGTGTGAATGGTGGTAGCTCAGCAGGAAAACCTGAGTGGCCGTGTCACCCCTGGAGCCAAACACAAAAATGACCGAGACTCCAGCAGTTTATGGAGGGAGCGCAGGCTGCTGAGGCCTCGCTGGTGCCTTGGGCAGCCGGGCCGCACTGGCCGGGGGTGGCGCCTGGGCACTGCTCTCCGGTTTCAGCAGCAGCAACTGGCTTCTTTCCGAGGTGGACTTTCTGAGAGTTGACTATTTCCACTGAAATTTCTCTGTTCTCCTAGACCGTTCTGTCGTCTGTAACACTGGTGAAGTTGCTGCTGAACTGCCCACTCGGTGCAGAGAAAGCGAGCCTGTTCTGGCGTGCGTGCCCGCAGATAGTCACGGCTCTGACGGTGAGCGCTCCGCCGCCTCCCCCGCCTCCTGTCCACACAGAGGGCGGCGCTGGCTCCTCCGTCCGCCGGCTTTAGGGAGAGCGTTCCGGAGCTCTGTCCCGCAGACGGTCTGGAGCAGAGTGCATTGCCGTCCTCGGGCTTCCCGTCACCGTCCGTCTGTGCACATCAGAATCCCCGTAGAAGATGCGGGGTAGAAGGCTGTGCAGGGCCACTGAGGGGCATGGGGAAGCATTCGCTTTTGTTTTCATGCCTGGTCTCAGTGTTGGTTTCAATGGCAGTGACATCCCGGAGGTCACACACCAGTTCTGGTTGGCAACTCTGCAGGTGTGAGAAGCCCCTGCCTCGCCGGGCCAGGCAGTGGCCCTCCCGACAGGCTGCAGGGGAAGGGATGTGACAGAGGAGGCTGCTCAGGTGGCCCTGCCGAAGTTAATCAGGGTGGGAAGGCGATCTGGAGCTTCCTTCGTCCCCACCAAATGTCGCGATTGGTGTAGTTGCATTCACTTGTTCTAGGCGGGTGTGTGTGTTCAGAGTCTGATGCAGCGAGAGAAAGTGGCTTTACAGAATGGCGTGGCCGCATTGCAGACAGATTATCATCACAGTTCCACCCAGTAGTTGCACAGTGGGCCCTGGTGACTGCGCAGTGATCGCAGGGCTTCCTGTTTCACCAGGACAGCAGCCGACCTGAGACTGGGGCCGTCTCGGAGTCTCTGTCCTCTGAAGAGTCTGGTGTTAGAGTTTCCTCTCAGCCCAGAAGATCAGCGTCTATTTTACCATCCTTATCAGTTCTACTGCTGGCTTGTGCTGGGAGGATTGCTCTCAGTTATCATATTCTTAGGGCAGAGGGCCTAAAGAATAGATGTACTCTTACTTTTAAAAGATGATTATTAATTTTAGAGAGAAAGAGGAACATCAAGGTGAAAGAAACATTGATCGGTTTCCTCCCGTATGTGCTCTGACCAGGGATCAAATGCACAACCTAGGCATGTGCTCTGACTGGGAATCGAACCCTCAGCCTTTTGGCATATAGGCCGACAGTAACCAACTGAGCCACACTGGCCAGGGCATGACCTCCTCTCTTGTTCTGTTTTGTTGTTTCCCTCGGAATCTGCCTTAGTAGGTGACTCCTGTCTCTCCCTGTGTGTGTGGGGCTGGGGGGAGGGTAGAGTCAGAGATGAGGGGCCGCATGGCCGGTGAGCAGTGTTGGCTGAGCGCATGGCAGGTGTGTGCTGATAGGAACGGCAGGCGGGAAGTGGCCTAGATGAATCTAAGCAGGACAGCATGGAGTTAGCACAGCCAGAACACCCAGAACAAGGTGAGCACCGTGGGAGACGGGCCCCAAGAGGCCTCTGCAGAGGCGCTGTTCACGGCCGCTGTGTGTGTGTAGGGGGCGGGGGTGTTGCCAGTGAGCACCCCCAGTTATGTAGGGAGACCGTGCTGGCCCTCCTGTTGTGTCTCTTCTCTTCCTGATGTAGAGCAGTGATGGAACATCTTCAACCAGGGCCGATGGTTAGGAAATGTAACAAGTGGAGTTTAATCATAGACATGCAGAACCAATGCTTTTTTTAAGGAAAATGTTGTTCTGTTGTATCTGATGTGAAGTTTTCTTGTTTTGAGAAGTTGAGTGAATCAACTCTGATAAAGAAATTACTCCTCAGGGTAGACGAATCCCACAAAGTGCAGCCCCAAGTGGGCAAGTCCGCAGCGGCCGCCCTGGGACATGGGTCACTGGCCTCCTTGTCACCTGGAGCTCCCCGCCGACCACATCGACGCATGTGGGGGTTTGGACGTTCGGACTTCCGTCACTGCAGTTCTCCCCTCTGTTGGCTTCCGTTTTTGTCATTTCTGTTGAGAGTCACCATCATTTTCTTTTCTTTGTTCCTTGTTGGCCTGCAGCTGCAAAACCGAGAGGCCTGTCAGGAGCAGCCCCTGCCCTTGGCGTTGGTGGAGTCCATCTTGGACGTGCTGGCCGCCCTGCTGCGGCAGGGGGAGGAGGCCATCAGCAACCCGCACCACGTCAGCCTGGCCTTCAGCATCCTGCTGACGGTCCCGCTGGACCACCTGAGGCCCGAGGAATACGGGAGCATCTTCCCTCGGGTGCACAACGCACTCTTCTCCATCTTGCAGTGCCACCCGAAGGTGAGGGGGGGGACCGGGGTGCCAGGCAGCCTTTCCTCTGTGAGCCGGGTACCTGTGCCTGCGGAAAAGCAGCAGTGAGGCGTTACGGGAGCAGGAGAGTAACACCGCCGATCTGCTAGGTAACAGTCAGTCCCGGGAACTGCCAGAGCCAGAGCAGCTTCTCAGGCACAGGGGGGCCCGACCTGCCCAGCGGGCTCTTCGGGTGAGTTGCTCTTCGTTGGACCTGACGCTTTGAACAGTGCTTGTGCATTAGCTCTTTGAGGAAACTCCTTAGAAATTACTCTGTTCTCACAGGTCATCTATTTACATAGCATGCACTTGCTTAGTTTTCTTCTTGGGCTTGTAATGCAACGCAGATGGATCTCGAGAGTGAGCCGCTTGAGTTCCCCTGTTTAGTGTGTGCCTTTCACATTAAATGGACGCTAGAAACAGAGGCCTCATAGAGCGGAGTCCTATTCAGCCAGCGTTCAGGGAACATTCGCTGTGTGTCCCACTCCCCACTCCAAGTCGAAGCAGGTGGTGATCCCGTTTTACGGACAAGAAGCAGGTTCAGAGTCACACAGAGACCTGACCAACACCATCAGTGACGTCTGAGTCTTAGAGCCGAGACCGGAGTTCTCTGGTCAGGCAGTGTTCGCACTGTACCACCTCCGTCTGCGGGACGCACTGGGACTTGTGAATAAGGAGGGAGACCCCTGTCCACAGGCACAGTCACCTCGTTCTGAGTGTTTTAATGTTCTAAGGTTAGAGACCTGCCAGCGGCGCTGTTTCGAAAACATTTACTCTCTGGCAGACTCAGCGCTCATGATACTGGGCCTCACTCCAATGCCTTCCCCACGTAACAGTTGCCTTTGGCCCTGCCTATCTCGTCCACAGCTTTGTTATTAAATCTCTCTGCTGGCTGTTAGGGTTTTGTGTGACTATGCAGTATAAATGCAAGAGCAAGCGATCACCAACTGAAATTTCAGGTCTTGCAAAAGATGCAGGAGTTCATGCAGCTGATGAAAGTAATGTTAACTGTGTGATCTGCTGCCAAACCAGTAACAAGTGACCGTTGAGCAGAAGTAGACTGTGGAAGGAGAGAATTGGCGAGGACGGTGATGCTGTGTTGCCATAGGGATGATGTGACTGGTTATAGTCGATCACCCTCACGGAGCCTGTGGGGTAGGGAGCAGGAAGGGGGCCCCAGGTGGGGCTCGGGCAATGTCGGTGGTGTGCACAGTAGGTCCTCTGACCTTAAACGTTAAAGGGTCAAGTAAGGTGAGCGGTTTCCCCAGAAAGTCCAGGGAAAAGGAACGTGCCTCAGCTGCTTTGAGCGTCCCGACGGATGAGGTTAAGACAGAAATCAAGATGAGCTCCTTGAGACAGAAGTTGAGATCAACTGCCTACGTGTTTTTTATATCTTTTTGTATGTTATTATTACAGGTAATGCGGAAAGCCATCCCTTCTTTCTTGAGCTGCTTTAATCGGTTGCTGTTTTCAGTTATTCATGAAGGACGGCAGAAAGATAAAGGTAATAATTCAGACCCATGCCATCAGCCACATGATTTCAAATGTTTTATCTTGTAGTGTCTCTGGCCACAGACATTACTGAAAATAAAACCACCAGCTGAGTGTATGTAAGAGAAATATTCAGGTCATCAAATGAATACTCAAAACAATTTTTTGAAGACTTTCAAACTGTCACAACGTTTTACTATATCTAGAACAGTGAATGCATTTGGTATTACCTAATTGAAATAGTTCTTTTGCTGGGAAAAATAAGTCCCTAGATTCAGGAAATGTTTATTCTCATGAAAAGAGGCTGTACAAGGGACTGCAGTCCCGTCTGGCCTCACGGACTCGTATTTCAATGGGGACCTGAAAGAGGAGGCGGCAGGCGTGGAGCCGTGGAGCCGTGGAGCCGTGGCCCCATGGGAGGGCGGCGAGCTCCGCCTGCCGCCCGTGGTCCCGGCGCCCTCCTGGCAAAGTCCTGTTTGCTGACCAGGGAAGCAGGCTGCCGTTGGCAGCAGCACGAATCACATCCTCGGCTTGTTTTCCAGCCGTGCAGTCTGTTGATCCTGCTAAATTTCTAATTTGGGGAGGGGTCGCATGAGTTAAAAGTGTGCTCGTGAAGCGAGGCTGTCTATGCACTGCTTCTAGTTTGCACGGCACGGGCCGCCTCATGCCATTTGGGGTGCTGGGCACAAGCACAGGGCGTGTGACAGGGGACCTGGGACTCAGAGGAGGGTCCGTAAGTCACCTGGAGAGCGTCGGAGACGCCTGGGCTGCGGCTCTGGACCAAGGAGCAGTGCAAGGGGGTGCTCCATGCCTCCGCCTGCCGGGGTGAATCAGTTTGATGGGTTCTAGGTTGTAGATTTAAGCTGTAACTTCTTTTTTATTAAATTAATTTTATATAGTTATTTTTCAAGTACAGTTTTTTGTCTATTTTTCCCATCCCAGCCTTCCCCGCCCCTTGCTCCCCACCTCCCTCCCATTTCCACCCCCCTTAGTTCTCGTCCCTGTGTCCTTCCTATTTGTTCCTCCAAATCCCTCCCCCTTTTTCCCCTTAACTTCCCTTCTAAGCTGTAACTTCTTAAGCAACTAACTTTTAAGTAAAGAAAAGGTGTGGTTAACACTGCACTCTATAATTCCCCAATTATTCTGCCTTGTCTGGGGTTAGTTGGGGGTTACACCATTCAATGTTTGGCTTCCTTTCGTGCTGGGTGAGGAGTGCGCCTCAGTGTAACACTGGGACTGTATTGAGGAGCAGGACTGGGAAATGGTTTCCAGGTCCCATGCTAGCCTCGGTCGGCTGGTGGTGGCTGGCGGCAGTTCCATGTCGAGGCGCGTCTCTCAGCTACACACGCAAGGGTCCCTGTTCTGGCTCTCGAGGGCGGCCTTGACAGGAGGCGGAACATGGCAGCGAGGGGGAAGCCCTGGGCCCAGTCTCACCTGGCCATGAGCGGAGCCCTGGTCACACGCTGGCACAGGCACGTCCTGTGTGCACTCAGACGCGTGTCCTTTGTCCCGGGGAGCCCAGGCGCACGTGACCTGTGCTTGGCTCTGTGCTGCTTGGCCTGCTGCAGCCACGTCGGTGCAGCTCGGTCATCTCCAGCCGGCCCAGACCCTGCGCTGCGATGCATTCGTGGCTGGACCGAGTAGCAGTTTCACTGTTGGCTCTTCCGGGTTGGCACTGATGCCCTCCTTTGTGACCACACATCACACCCACCACTTACGCTATGAGCCATGCATGTGTGTGGGGGGCAGTCTCATGAGAGAAGGAAGGGGTGGTGTCCATCACCTGTTGGAGTGCCCCACCGGAGTGCACCGCCTGCTGAAACAGCCACGTGAATGTCAACAGTTTACATGATTTCGTGAAATGACATTGATGTAGAAAAACTGCACAAATATGTTTGTGTGCATAATCAAGGTCTTAAAAAGACATTGTACATTCCAAAAATCAGGTTTACTAAGGCATAATATATGAGAAACAAACTGCATCCACTTGAAGTATACAACTCAATGCACTTTGACAGTTTACCACGTGCAGGAGACCACCAGTCAAAATACAGAGCATCTGCATCGTCCCCAAAACAGTCCTCTTGTGGTCCATTCGCCCAGCACCAGCCCCAGGCAACCACTGGTCTGTTTTTGTCACTGTAATCCCTTTGCATTTTCTAGACTTTTGTAACAGCGGTGTGTCACCCTGGTGGGTGGTGAGAGCCAGGGCAGGCACCTGGGCTCTGTGGGGGCCGCCGTGAATTCCTGCTTTAGCTCCTGTGGTCGGTTTGAATTCCTCGGTGGGTTTCTTAAGAAGGGCGTGGTGGCCCGGCTCCTTACAGTGGAAACGGATCGGAGAGAAACCTGGGAAGACAGGAATGGTAACTGAGTCTTGCGTGTGTATCTGCCTGAGAAAGAAAAAATTCTGCGCAGTTTCTGGAGTGGAGGGAGGCAAGGACATCATTAGGCCGTCTTATCTTTAACGTCACGTGATGTTAGAAACCATTTTCAAAGAGAATTTTCCATTTTTTTCTGCCTACTTAAGCCTGCCTTGTAAAATGTCTCCTTTTTAAATACAATAGCTATCTTTGATTTCATCCTAAAAAAAAATCTTGATTATTCTCTATAAACTCTTAGTAAAAACCACGTACTCTTGATTATTTTAAGTGTTCTTCCCTTTGTTGTATAGATAAATATTTGGACATATTCTCTCTCCCGTACTCTGTCTGCAAACTAAGCTAATTAAAGAGTGGGAAAGGGGGAGATTTGAGTAGTCTGGGGCTGTAGTACAAGGATGGAGCTGGAGGAATGAAGGCACGTGTCTCGGGGCACGTGTCTCGGAGCTCATCGGTTTGGGAACACTTTGCTTCTGTAGGGAGTGCAGACGACCTGCCGGTGGTCCTCGAGTGCGCCCGCCTGGTGGAGAGGATGTACAGCCACATCGCAGCGCAGGCTGAGGACTTCACGGTGTTCGCGCCCTTCATGGTGGCCCAGTACCTGACGGAGGTGCAGAAGGTAGGCCGGGCGGACGGCTCCACCCAGTGCTTCCGTTTGGAGTCCTTCGCAGCGGGGCTCCTCAACCGAAGTGGCAAACGCCGTTTTGGCTCTGCTCTCCTCTGTTGTGACAGGGTGTCCTGCCTGTCCCCAGGTGTGGGATGGAGCTGTGGAGGACGTGGCGGGGTGACATTTGAGGGCGGTGGTGTGGGGACATGGGAGGCCCCCAGTAGCTGTGAGGACCCCGTCTGTCCCCAGCACCAACCTCGGGCCTGTTCTGGTTAGTCTCTGAGTCGTCAGGGAGACGAAACGCCCTGGGGTTAGGCACAGAACTGGGCTCGTTGGTGACCAGAAAGAGGGCTTCCGGGCCCGTGGTCGTCGGGCGTGTTGTGCACGTGACCCAGCTGCCCGCAGCCCCTCGCCGTCGATGGCGTGGTGGGGATACGAGCAGAGCAGGGTTAAAACTGCAGTGAGCTCGTGACCCGAGAGGCGCTGCGTTTTCCGAGGGCCCTTCCTTCGGCTGAGTGGCTTCCTCTGGTGTGGTGTCCGCTCCTCCTGACCCTGTTTCAGGACGAGTCTGTCACCACTAACTAACGCAAACCCACCAGCCCTGCCCCCCTCAGCCGGTGGAGAGGCCTGTCATGGGTGGGCAGTCAGCCAGGTGGGGGCAGGCGGAACACGCTTAGGGGGCGGCCCGGGCCCCAGGGCGCATGTGGTCCTCGGCAGGCCCGGCGTGCGTGAGCTGCGGCAGCACGCCAGCGCCCTGCACCTTGTCCTTTGGTGTGGGCTTGGACTTCGGTTTCCTTGGAATGGTTTCGCATTTTTGTAGAATCTTGATATTTTTCCAAGGCCTGAAGTCATTAATACATAAGCGTTTGCTGAAGGAAAAGCTGGCATTGTTTTCTGTTTCACTGAAGAATAAAATGAGACACAGTGATATCACTTCACTAAGGGCCAAGAAGAGAGGCAATAATTTTTTGAACTCTCAAGTCATTCATTATTACTCTGAGATTTATTTTTATGAAAAGTCTCTTGTTTCCTGGCCTTACTATGCGTGTCTAATTTATGTTTATCAGTTTTTTTTTTATTTGTAATCTTGGAAGCCAGAGGCCTTGGGAATTATCGAAGGCTCTAGTATCCCAGAATCCACTGGCAGGAGAGCCCGCGTCTTATCTTTTATTTGTTTTTCAGTTTAGTAATGCAGAAAGTATTCCACGTGCACTGGAGGCTTCTCCTGAGAGAGCCGTGAATCTTTCCAAACCGGGAAGACGTTTCTGAGATTGGTTATGGCTGGACAGCTGCGTGAGCCCCCTTCAAGTTCCCCTGGGGTTTCTGTGGACTGGGGCCTGGGGCCGCCTTTCAGCTGTTTGAGCAGGTGACCCGGTAGGACCGTGTCCTTCAGCAGAAGCAGCGACTCGTGGGGGTCTGTTCCCTCCGTGCAGCGCTGTGTCGCGGTGGCGATGAGCCCTGGAATTACAGTCACTGCTCTCTTTCCCGCGTAGACGAGTTCCCAGCGGCCCCTCTGATGGTTGGAGCAGCAGTTCCTGCCACCCATCCTGCCTGCGGCTCCGGTGGCTCCTCGGAGACGTTTCACTGACTGGCCAGTGACTCTCGTGTTGCAGGACTGTTTTCTCCTGGGTTATAAATAAGTTGTCTGAAACACAAAGATGGGGTGGCCGTGTGGTTTTGATGCCACTGGCCTTTCGTTGTTCACCGGAGCCCTGTGCTCGGGGCTGCGCCGATGAGGTCCCACCTAGGTAAAGGGACTGTGAGGAGCATGGCTTCAGGTCTCAGTGCTGCCCCGGAAGAGTTCACTTCCCACCTTTGTGTCTGTGGAAGTGTGTGATGATCGAATGAATGGATGAGCGGTCAACTTAAAAAGTCCTCACCCCACTGGTGAGAGGAAGGACTTCTGTTTTTCATCTGTCCTTTTTGTTTGATTTTTCCGTCCCTAATGCCTTACTCTGAAGTCACAGACATGGCAGCGCACCTTTGTCCTTGAGTTCCTATTTATGAAACAGTACAGTTTCAGGTGATCATCTGCCACAGGTTTTTCTAACTGTCATGTGAGGATGACCATGACTTTGAAAAGAATGGTATCTTCCTAGTGGCAGACACAAATGGCCTCTTTAGGAATCTGCCTCCCAGTGGTTGCCTGGGTGACTCAGACTCCTCCTAGTTAATAAGATCCGTTGCCATTGGAGGCTGTGATTGGCAGAGAATCATGGTGGTTTGCAGGTGACCTCTCCCAAGTCCTCAGGACTTGCATATAGAATCAGCCACACCCCAGGCCTCTCAGCTGGGCCTCTTCACACTCAGCACAGTGCCAGGCTCAGCCACGACCTCAGTTTCTGCTGCAGATGCGCGTGGGGCCTGTCTCCTGGCCTTGTGTCTAGATGCTGATTTGAATCTGATCCACAAGTTTGTGCACGAAATCCAGTGAAGCTGCATCAGAGCTGGACCGCCCCCCGCCCCCGCCCCCCACGGCTGTGCTCCAGATTTTAGTTAACCCAGAAGTTCAGGAAAGAAATTGGTCCCTGTCCATTCTGGGGCAGTTAGGAACTTAGGGCCTGTTGTGCTGTTGTTGCGGGGAATAAAAATACCCAGTAAGTGGTAATCAAATCACATCTGATGTGGGGCGGTGTGAAGTGAGCTAGTTGCTCCTCAGCCCAGCAGTGGTCTGTGTGGAGAGTGTCAGAGCCCCCCCCCCCCCCACCAATCCTGGGCAGGCCCTGCTCTGGGGGAGGGGCAGCCATGGCAGTGAACTCGCTGCTGGTTAGTGCAGCTTCCCTGTGACTGACCACGTGGAAGGATTTCACGCCACATGCAGGCGGCTCTTCCTGGTTTTTAAGTGTAAAGAGTCCCATTTTTAGATGCCCCTGTTGAACACACAGGCTCATGTGTTTGTTTATCAGAGCTACCCCTAGGATGTTTTATTCCAGGTTTTTGTTCACTCGAGGCGGCTTCTATTTCCCCAAAATATAAACTTTCAAGATGTGAATGTTTAGTTATACGAGGTGTGTGCGACACGATATCTTATCTCTTTTCGAGTTGGAAGTGGACGTTGAAATTCACTGTCAGGTCTCCGTCGGCCTTGCCCTGTTTGCTCTCACGGACAGTGTGTCCCTCCCCAGGTCACCCTGTCGCCGGCCGTGAAGGGCCCCCTGCGGGAGGGCATCTACCTGCTCCTGGACCTCTGCATCGAGTCGGACGTGCAGTTCCTCCGGGCCTCGCTGCCTCCGGGTGTCAGGGACGTCTTCACGGAGCTGCACGGCGACTACACGAAGCACCACAAGGGGAAGCACGAGGGGGAGCGGAGGTACGCCGTCTGAGGCTGCGCCTCTGGAGGAGGGCGACTTCCAAAGTGCTCGTTGGCCATGGGGAACGCGCAGAAATTATTTAATGTATGTGTTGTATTTTACAGTCATGTTTTCAACACAGTATTTTTTAACATATTTTTATGCAGTAAGTTATGCATTGGAATCCTGAAAATAGCACCTTAGAATGAGGTGAATTCAATAAGAAATTGCTGAGCCCCTCTCGTGGCCATTCCAGATGTGGTTCCTGCCTCATTCCCTCTCCACCAGGAACTGTGTAGAACTTGTTATTTTACGTCAGGTACACGGCTGTGTAGTCAAGTCCCACTTAAACATCTGGGCCCTTGATTTTTCTCAAATAACGTGGGAGTATTGTTGAAACGGCACTGTTTCTGAGGCTGCCTCCTGATGGCACTGGGAATGCTAGAGCCCCTCGGGGAGCTGGGGGCACCGCCCTGACCGGGGCGGGGCCCGCTGAGCGGGTGGGTGCAGTCGGGTGGGTGCAGTCGGGTGGGTGCAGTCGGGTGGGTGCAGTCGTGCAGGGGCCGGTCGTGGCCAGTCTCCTGCCCGCCTTTCTGCTCCAACTCTGCGTGTGCTCTAGATGCATTTTCTGTCCAGTCCAGGAAATACTCCTGATGATTGTTTCCGTCTGCCTAAGCAATGTATTTCATTATGTCCATCTCAGAAAAATAAAAATGAAAGGGAAAATGATTTATTTTTTCAGCAGAGATTTTTAAAACCATTTAGTTTCAGCCTCTGTTTTCCTTGGAGTACTTTGTTTTCATCCCTTTGAGATACACACAGGCATACACAGTCACACACGTGTGAGTGTGATTGTAGTTGCCAGAATGGATCATAAATCCAATTTTGTTTGTCTTGTTTTGGCTGCCTAACAACTTTTCCTGTGAAAAGTTCAGTAACATCTTTGGGTCTCTAAAGGCATTTGAAATACTTTTTAATGGCTTCATAGCAGTCCATTGATGAGATGCAGCTGTTGCATTTCGTAAACCCCCCCGCGGCCAGACCACAGGGTCCTCCAAACTCCCCCTCACACATGTGCTTGCAGCTGAGTCTTTCCTCCTTCTTTATTTGCATAAGATGAAGTCCCATAACTTGTATCGCTGGTCAGAAAGTCCCATCAGTTCTTAAGAATTTATATATACTTGACCTCCAAAAAGTATGCTGATTTTTTCCCTACTGGTGAATCAACTTTGGTATTATTTTGTCTGTTTTATGCTTCCTTAATGACAAACATTACTTTGTTTTGAATTTCTTTAGTTACTAAATTATATATTTTTTGTATTACCACTTTTATTTCTTGTACAAATTATGTCTATGTAATTGTTTCTTATGTAATGTCAGTCTGTTTCTCAGTTAGGATATTTGCTTTTTTTCTTGCTGTATTTGTGGCACTTATGTTGAAATTCTCATACCCCTTTTTGTCAAAATGTCAACTTAGATTATTTGAAGGATCTGTAAACAAAGGCTTTTTTTAACACAACTTTTTAAAGCACAGGAACACATGTCTTTGGAGCAGATAATATAAAAATGGATTTTTTTGACTACCTAAGAAAAAACAGCCTATTTTTTATGCCTCAAATTTGATCTTCTGTCCTGTGTTGGAGGACCGAGTTGGGGAGACAGCTCTGCTTTGCCTGCTGCTGCTGCTGCTGGTGTGGTGTGGTGTGTGTGTGTGTGTGTGTGTGTGTGTCTGGAGGCGCCCCCTAAGCTCCAGCAGCGTCATCTTTTTGCCCGGTCCCCTGAGAGAGGGCGGTGACGTTGCTCCTGGCTCACACCTGGGGACTGTGCGCTGGAGCAGGCAGGTGACCTTTCAAGGACACAGGCTGTACACGAAGCTGGAACTAAAACCACATTTTTGGCTTTGCCCTTTTGGTCACATGCCCAGACAGGAGGGTCACTGCTCTCAGAAGCCCTCAGGGCATTGGGCCATTTTTTTTTCTCTGCTTGAGTTCGAGAAGGCCGGAGGTTGGCAGCCATTCGTTTCCCCTGCTGTTGGAATGTTCCTGGGCTGCAGACAAACACGGAGCAATGCCTCAGGCGTCCTGACGGTGGCACTGCAGGCCCGCCGCTGAAGGCCCGTCGCCGCTGGGAGAGGGAGCTCCGCAGCCTTGGGAGGAAGGGAACGCGGAGAGAAGGCTGTGAGTCCGCGCCTGCCTGCAGCGCCCCCACTCCCGAGAAGGGCTGTTCCAATGCCCTCGTCGGCATTGCGGTGTGAACTCCGAACCCTCCTCAGGAAAGAATAGTTTTCAACTCTGTTTTGGTGAAGAGTGGGGAAGAGGAACATTTTTCTTAGTGGTTTTAATGCTCTGTTCATTTCTGTTTTGTTAGAGCAGACCTCATGGGCCAGGGGAGTTGGCCTGGGCAGAGCGGGTGCAGCAGGAGTGACAGTGAAAGACCGGGCACAAGTGGGTCCCCCCGCCCCCCAACCTCCACCGGCGGGGCACCAGCCCCACTGCAAAGGAGGGCCTGCCTTCCTTCCATTGTCACAGAGGCTTCGCTTTCCTCTGCTCCTGCCAGGCTCTGGGGCTGCGCTCTGTCCTCACAGAGCTTCTTTCTGGCAAGGGACGCTGATAGTGAGCCCGCAACCAAGTGAGCATGGTCATTCCAGAGGCTGGTCACAAGGGGTGGGAAGCAAAAAAAATAAGTGCAGGGGCCTGGGAGCAGGGAGGCTGTCCTGGGAGGTGAGACCTGCCTGAATGATAGGGACGGATCTTCAGGGCCACCGGCTGTTTTAGGACAGGGAGGGGAAAAGGAGCAGATGAAGGCAAGAGAGAGAACTGAAGACACCCGGGGCCCTAGAGATAGAAGAGTCAGAAAAGCCAGTGGTGAGCCAACGACAGAAGGTGCCAGGAAGTGAAGGTTGAGGCTGCGGGGTAGGCACAGCATCTTGTGCAGATTCCCCAGCTACCCGCCCGAGTCCAGGCTGCCGTGTGCACTGCCCGGGAGCTCCTGGCTGGGGGAGCAGGCGGGGCCTGCCACTGACCTGGCTCCCTGTGCATCCACGGACCCGCACCCTCCTGGAGCAGGTGCCTTTTCCTGCTGGCTCTGAGGGGCTTCTGCTCACCTGCTTTTCCAGAGTGACCAGTGGGGCACTCGGGCCACTCATGCTGCCATGCCGTGTGACTCAGCCAGGATACCTGGAAGAATAGTTCGGTCACCTGCTCATGAGCAGAGTCACTGCCCTTGGACTCCTCTCTGCCGCCACCTGCCCCGAGTTTTGTTCCACGCTATTTCTTGGAGGCAGGTGGTGTTGCCTTGGACTTACTGTGCCTGCTTAGGTGGAGGTGTGGCCCCAGGGTCTCCCCCTTTCCTGTTGGCCCCCTCAGCTCGCTCCCTCCTTGTGCTGGGTGCCCACCACTGGCCCTCAGTGGCAGGGCTGCCTCCGTGGGGACGGGGCCCCGGGGCACTGGGCTGCAGTTCTCCTTTGACGGACAAGTACATCCAGCTTACAGAATGCATGACGGCCTCTGCATTTTTACTGTTTAACTTAGGTAACTACATATTTGTACTTTCCTTTAGCAAACATTTACTAACTTTACAGCAGGAAGCACTTCCTAATTGTGGGGCTCAGGGAAGTGACTTAATTTCCCGAGCCTCATTTTCTTCTCTGAAATGGAGATGATCACTATTTACCACCGAGTGGTCCTGCACCTTCCACACGATGATGGATTTGAAAGGGCTTCCCCCAACACCAGCCGGTCCTCCCCTGCCGGTCCTCCCCCGCCATCCCTGAGCTCCAGGAAGGTGCTGCCCATCCTGCCACGCCCTGGTGCGAAGAACACTCTGGGACTGTGCTGCCCAGGCTGTGCTTACTCCCCACACTCTGTGTCTCGTTTTCCTTCCAGACCACGCATCTCACAGGTTTGTGGGGAGAATTATGTTAGGTCCTATATGAGGACCACTTAGAACAGTGTCTGGCACGTGGCTTGTTCGATAAATAGCACCTGTTACTTTCATCATCATTATAATCAGTGAGAGAGAAGTGAGTTGAAATCCCACCCTGCTTAAGAGCCAATAGTATTTGTAATAACTCATGCTGGCCCTTCACTTGGCGGGGGGCGGGGGGGGGGTGGAGGAAATCCTCCTGCTTAGTGGAGACCTTAGACTGAAAGACGGCGAGGCCCCAGTGACGTGAGATGACAGCCCAGTCTGGGCCTGCGAGTGGGTCAGCTGCGAGTGGTCTCGGTGGGTGGGCTCTGCATCGGGTCTTGATGAAGGCCCTAGTGTCTCTGCATTTACACCCCACTGCTGCTGGGTCTGTAGAATAAAGACGGTGCTAATCAAGACCTAGAGGTGACTTTTCTGAACTGTAACTCTTTCCTTCAAGTGCTGAGGATGCAACATACTCTTGTGACTCACAGCCAGGATTCCGAGCCAGACATGCTCAGTTCAAATCTTGTCTTTCACGAAACTGTGTGGCTATGTGCAAATTGCCTGACCTCACTGTTCCTTGGTTTCCTTGTCAGGAAAAGTGGGACATTTATAGCACCCACCTTGCATGGTGGTTTTAGAGCCTAAATGTGACAATGTGTGAGCCTTTAGTACGGTCCCTAGAAGGTAGTAAGTGCTATTATTTTATAAGTGCAAAAAGTGTATCCTTAACCTTTTATTATAAAAAAATTTCAAAGTTATGGAAAGATTGAAAATATAACACAATAAACATTCACACACTCTGTACCTAGATCCAAAACTTATAAAATACTTGATGTATTTGCTCTCCATCAATCTATTACTATCTACACATAAGATTTTTGCCAAACTGTGAAACAAGTTGCCTGCCTCATGATATTCTGCCCTAAACACTTTATCCTGCTCTTTCCTGGTAACAAAGACATTCTCCTCCATAGCCATACCGCTCCTGTCACATGTAAGACAAATCAGTTTCATAAAACCATCCTATGTTCTGTCTCTTTCACATTTGTCCATTGTCCCAAGAACAGTTGCCTGGTGCCCAAGTATCACCCAGGGATCACTCACTGAGTTCCGAGGGCAGG